AAACACATTTACACTCCCAGCGGGCAGCCTGCAGGGTTCATTCACCTCCACCAGGCTGCACCTGTTACTGTTTAGCTCTACATAATAGCTATGGCGTTAATTAATGATTTAAAACTATGACCTGTAGTTCACCTGAAACCCAGATGAATTGATCAGAGGTAAACGTTTTATTTGAGATCATGTACATCGGTCCGTAGAATTAGATACACAGAATCATTTCTAGCTGCTGTCTAATGTAACCACAGCTCTTTGTGATCACAAATTAAATCCACAGGAACAGAAACAAGTCTGTAAATCTGATTCAGGTATATGGTAATTATGAGGCTGAGGTTTTTGGTGAAACTGACCAATAAATGAAATAAGTGGAAAAGACTTAAGCAAGCATGATAGCTCATTTTGCTTATAAGGACTAGGACAACAACAAGATAGTTCATGTCCAAGCCTCGAGCGGGACACTGGCATTCTGCTGGGGTGAGGCTCTAATGGGACTCTATAGGCTTAGCCACTCATCTTTAGAAATGTACTCACAATATGTTAAACTGGCACCTATGCTCATTCATAAAGTTGAAAAAAATATCAAAACTAAGGTAACCAAGAAGACATTATAACACTGTTTTCTAGTAGATCTACTCGTGACAGATAAACTAAACTTTATGTTTCAAATCATTTGAGGGCCCCTTTGACAGAAAATGTTCAAGATATATAATTTGAAAAGCATTTGAAGAGCATGGTGTTTAAAAGAATACATATTCTTTCAGTCTGTGGTAATGAATATGGCCCAGTTCCCTTGGAAACTATGTGCTCATGACTGAGAGGGTTCAGCAACTTAAGAGTCCAGAGGCATGGGAACCACGAGGACCATGCCATGTATGTAGGGCCAGATGGCAGTTGGGCTCATTTTCAACAGCAAATGGCTCACTTTACTTTTGGTTTGGCTTATCTGATGTGCTCGCTTGGCTTTGTGTCAATTCACCACATGCCAACTGACCCTGTAGTCTACACGCACTCGAGGATCCACTACAGAGCACGATGCTCAATAAAAAGCACACCACTTTTGCTGCTTTGGCTGCTGTTTCTGTTAAATGACAAAGCAAATAACAGGCAAAGAATTGCCTGTATCTCAAAAACACTAAAGGTGGCTGTTTCAGCTCAGTCTGGTTCTTCTCTGTAATGTCGTACCATTGGTGTTCTAGCCTGTGTAAATATGTGACATTGTGGACTTTCCTTTTGTTTATTTTGTATTTGTCAGTTTTTTTATTGTATGTTTTTTGCAGTAATTCTAGTGTAGCCATATTATCCGTACTGCATATCCTAAATGAGTAGCCATAGAGCTGTAGAAGTTACCTGGATGTAACTTCAGTGCTATGAGTATATTTACAGCATTCTAGCTGGCTTCACTATTGATAATAAACAGAAGACCATTAGAGATGTGATGCACTGCCAGCAGCATCTAAAACTTCTAATATTGAATTCTAGTTCTACCATGAAGGGTGGATAGTTGAATTAGCAGTAGATGCAATACAAGACCTTCTATTAAAGATCTACTGTTATAATAATTGTGATATCTAGCAAAGATCTAACAAGTAGTTACTCTGACTTGTAGTCTGTTGGTGCCTTTCACTTTGAGTTTTCCAAGATGGAACCATTTCCACGGCCGCAGGTATCACAGTGTCCCTCTTTCTCACTGAGTGACAGCAGGCGACACGCTCCTAGACTCCAAGTTCTTTTTTTTTCTCCACAGCAATGCGTATGCTGTAACCACATACTTTTCTGCCCAAGTCACCATCTCCCACTGGGCCTGCGAGGATCCAGACAGAGACTAATCCCTGCAGTGTTTACCGTCCAGTGATGCAGGTGTGTTCAAGTGCTGCCTGCTAAGAAACACACTGATCCTGTTGTCACCCACGGGACAGGATGTGACCGGGACAGCAGGGTGGTTTCTGAGAATAGAAAGGGGCAGATGAGAACGGCCGGTGTTTTTGTAAAAATATACCTTGCAACTCTCTGGCAGAAGGTCTGGATTATCTCTTCACCATGTGCCCAACTTCTATTTAAAATTCCTGCTAAGACACATCACAAAGCTGTGACACTTGTTCATACGTACGGATTATTCAAACTGACTTTTCACAGACTTGTATGACTTGTTACACTGACCTTTTTAGACAACAGTGTTTATGAGGATGGCAGCCTGCATTAATAACATGCTATACGCAAACAGGATGCTTCACAGCTCCTAATTTTAGGCAGTGGAGTCACCAACCTGCCTCCTACCTGCTTCTCACAAGTCAGTTGAGTGTTGAGGAATGTATAGCTGGCTTTTTTGTAACATGTATAGCCCAGTGATAAGCCTCTGTGACAGGCTGCTATTAAAATTGTCATTCTTCTGGCTTCATGTGTCCTGAACTGTTTGTCCCACCTGGTTGTACAGGGCCGAGGTACTGTAGTAATAGGGAATCAAATGGATCACTGGTGGCAACTGACAGATTGCTAACTGTATTTTGTCGATAATATGTCAGAAATGTCAGCATTTTGAGTTTGTTTTCTGTGAATGAATGTGATTGGCAGATATAAACGTCTAAATCCAAAACTATCAAGAAGCTAGTGCAATATCACAAAATTTGGTGTCTGTCCAATCCAAAACAATATATGGGCCAGGATCAGAGATATCAATAGCGACGTCATGAATAGCAGCCAATGTATGATGTAGGAGTGTAGCTATGTATCATCACTTAAGAGGCAAATTCATCATTTATAGGCTGCTTGTGAATGACATGCATCATTTCTTCAAGACAAATACACAAAAATGTCCCTACCAAAGTAAAAACCAAACCTACACCCTTAATGTAAACTAAGGTGTTAATTAAAAGTTAAATTGTGTTACCTCTCTGAACGAAGGAAACAAGCTGCAGATATGCGTACAACAGCAGCAGAGAAGCAAAGAGTGCATGCAACGAGAGTAGTGCTCATGTGCCCAAAATGTGAGACTTCACGACCAGTATCGATGCTCAGAACAAGACTCATTGAGGACACTGAGGTCATGTCCTCTGCAATTTTAATTTCTTTTTTCAGGCAATGTGGGGGTTTTAACAGCCTGTGGGGCGTTTACAAACTCTAATTAAATATTAACACTCGGTGGATTATTTTATAGGGCGATTACTGCATTTGTGGGGCTCATTGCACTTTATGTTAGGCCAACAATAAAATGCAACGATAACTTTTAGTCCTTGCCTTGGTCCATGTAACATGTGAGAGCTCTCTGCCATTTGTTCAGGAGTAGGCCTAATACAGGGCTGTGACAAACACACGCTGTCCACCGACTGAGGCTCTCATTTCTTCTGGTGAGGAAGTAGCTGAAAGGATTCCTCATCATTGCTCAGGGACGCTCCTGCACCCCCTCGATACCATATAAGAGAATGTGAAACCTGATAGCTGCTTCTAAAAGTCTCTTCCTCAAGCTGTGAACACTCAGATGCTCTCACTTCAATTTGTCTAGACATTACATCTATCTCCCCTCTTCCCTGTGTTTAAAGACTATCAGTAATGCAGGGAGGTGATAAATCATAATTTGTGTTGTCATTCAATACTGGCGTCAACTCTTGTAATGACAGAAATGTATTGATCAGTTCCTGTTAGAATACTCTGAGTCATTTGATCTCCCGATTATGTAACACACCAAACTGCCCTAAACTGTGCTTAATATTGTGAAAATCCTTTGTGTTCTCAATTTTGAAACTGCGTTATCTGCAGGTTTTCTGTATTTTCAGTGTACTTATGAAGTATTACAAATACGAAGCAGCGCATTAGAATAGCTGCAAATTATAACAGAGGAAATCAAGTTCAGGAGTGGTACCTTAAGTAGTTGGAGTTGAGGATAAGGATGGCAGCTATGCTATTTCCTCTATTACTTTGGCAGTGTCTGTGAAATGCCCAAGTCCTCCTTCCAAAGGTTTTGGGAACCAGTCGTGTAAGCAACTCTGCCCATCGTAGAAGTCTGTCTGGGGACAGCTGTTGCCACCAGTACCATTTTATAGCACCATATACATGTACTGCATGTCACAAACCTGTATTAGTCTGCATTTTGTACATCATTCATTTAGTGCAAGTACAGTTGTGGAGATCAACAGGATAGGAATAGAATTTTTTGCTCAACGTACATCAATCTTATTTTCTTCAGTGTTGTAAATAGCTGCATTTCTGGCAACCATGTGACTTTAAAGTGACATTTGAGAGGATACATTTAGTGGCTTGGCCCAGTCACTTGGTCATGACTACACTCCCACATGTAACATCCTCAGTGGATGAAGTTTATTGGTGTATCTGGTTATGATACAAAGGGCAAGTGTCACATGACGGACATGCAGGTCAACGAGGCACACTGGAAGGAACATGGATGAATGGAGCGGAAAAAAACTCCACAAATGTGTCTGGAAGAAAAATAATGCGTAAGGAGTGTTTTCAAAATCAGTTTCTAATGTCTCTGGTCAAACTAGGATTATATTGCACCATCAGGTATGATGTAAGCAGACAATTCAACAACACATGTCACATGCCAAAATGAAATCATGTGCTGTTGCTGTTATTGCAGTTGTTTATTTGTCCTGCAATACATCTCCTGCATTAATAGCACCAAAACAATATGACAACACTACAAATCTATAAAACTACTTGTAAAAGCCCTAAATGGGGAAACAACTGCGCTCCAAGGCTCCTATGATTTTCAGGTATAGTCGCCCTCTTCTGGTTTTGTTTAGCTCTAATATTAAGCATAGTTGTTTAGATGTTTATGTAGGAAATTGTATGTCTTAAGCAAGACTCAAAGGGGACATTTTGGTTGTCAACATTTTTATTATGTAGAGGTGGGTGCAGTGTCAGTGGGCATGTGACAGTCCAGTGGGAGGAGCCGGACAAGGGCCACTCATTTCTAAGCTGAAGTCACTGGATCTTAGGCCCTAAAATAGCCCTACAGAGGGTATATAGGGATCCTCTCCCACTTACCCGGTCAGACAACAGTCCTGCGCAACAGCAAGCACACTGCGCAAAACATTATTTCAAAATTGGATGGGAGAAATTCACCGCAGGCAAGAAAACGCGGACACAAGCTAAAGATGGAGATTGCAACATACTGAAGTGAAGTAAAGGATTTGAGAAGTGCTTGTATTCTGCAGTAACAATAGGAGACTCTCCTGCTGGAGACAAAAAGGATAATAATCAAGCGAGGAGAGGACAAAAAGGACTCAGAGCAAAGGATACTGCCCTTTCATTTGATTGGTACATTCTCTTGGATTTCCCACTTCCCTCCTCCTGGGCTGACAGCATAGGGGGAGGCAGAGCCGCAAACACTGCAGGGATGAAGTACAACTACCATGTACCAGTGTCAACGTACACACGCAGTTCACAGTACACACCAACATACCACACGCCTACCTCTTACACCCTCTCACACTACACACCAACACACTACACACCCACATATACCTCTACGACAAAGTACACCCCGACACAGTACAGCACGACACATTACAACCCATCAATTTACACGTCCACTTACAAGGCCGCGTCGACATACACTCCTTCATACAGCAAAGGGTCCCGGTACAGTTCAACACAGCGCACACAAGCACAGGAAAGTCCAGCACCTGCAATACCTGTCGCACCTGCAAAGAGAACTGTGCATTTCCCCAATGACATCATCTTCCAAGATATTGTAAGGAGAGGAGATATGGAGCAAATTGGTCGGTTCATGAGAGCGAGGAAGGTTCGTGTGGATACAATCTTCCACTCAGGTGAGCAAAGTCTCGGATTTTACTTTTTCATCGCATTGTCCAGCAATTTTTCCTGCTAGGATTCATAACTTTAATATTTGAAATGTGGTTTGAAATTAGAAACAATGCCAGCCAATGAGGATCAAGGCCGCAAAACCTATTTGTACGCGTCCCTTGTTGTAGATGTTGAATGCTGTATGTGCTGGGGTGCAACCAAAGCAATGTTTCACTGGCTTGAATTGACCGCATGGCTATACTGCTGCATTTTTTAAAATTTAACCAGGTAAGTCTTATTGAGATTAAAATCTCTTTTGCAAAAGAGACCTGGCCATATACTGCTGCAGAAGACTGATATAGCATTTTGTGCAGGTATGGCAGCGCTACATGAAGCTGTGCTAACGGGGAACCTGGAGGTGGTGAAGCTGCTGGTGAAATATGGCGCCGATGTGCACCAGAGAGATGAAGATGGCTGGACACCCCTTCACATGGCCTGCAGTGACGCCTACCCAGATATTGCCAGGTAACTTTTTAACCTTTCAGCCTTGACTGATCATGCTTGCTTTTTCAGCACACTGATCCATTTTTATTATCTGGCGCTAATGTGTCAAAAGCAAAATATCTATTTCCTACGTCTTTAAATTCATTATAGAACAGATGAGCAGCATTTGAAAACACAGTAATGTGAAACTTTTCTATGAAGTACACATCCTTCAAATATCCCTCAAAGGGTAAGATGAGGTCACCTAATCGCAATGACCTTACTAAGACAAAGTTTATCTGGATATGTCACTGGTGTTTTGGATCTGTACGCAGTGAAAAACACACACATTAAATTGTGGCATAATTCAACCGTCACAATCCACAAGACATGGTATTCAGCATTAAGCAAGCCAAGGGATTAAAAGAGGGATCACTACTGAAACTGAATTTCGACAGCCCCCCTTATTCCAAGGCCTTTGAGTTCAGCCTGTGAAACAATGAAAAATGACAGCCACTGAAGAAAAATGGTTGCTGTAATGATAAACTATGCCATGTTGTATTTTAATCTGAGAATCTCTGATTAACAATGCTCCGCTTCACTTTCCACTCAGATATCTGCTGTCGATGGGAGCCAGCACAGAGGCAGAGAACGAAAATGGAGAGAAGCCTGCAGATCTCATCGACCCAGACTGCAAAGAGCTGGTCAAACTGTTTGAGGCAGGCTGTGTGTGATTGGGCACCAAATGGACCCAACAGAGAAGACAGAAAGCTGAGCAACCACTTGTCAAATAAAAGAACACATATTTAACAGAATACAACACCAGACAAACTTGTAACAGGGTGGAAGAACATAGCCAGAGCTGAGGGCCATGTCACTGAAACCAGAAGATGGCGGTCTAGCGGTTAAGTTTGAAAAGTGCTTAACAAATTGAGATTATTATTTTTTAATTACAGCCTTAAAGCAATGCTCAAATGAGCTGTATTTATCTTTTTGTAGGTTGTTTTTATTTTATTTGTCTTCATATGTGTATTTGTCTGCTGCAAATGTCATTCGATGAATATCTTCACTCTCAGCTCATGTAATACAATCACAATAATGTGTCACTGAAACGAAATGACATCTTCACTTGTCATGAATGGCCCAGAGCTGAATATCTAGTTATTCATTTGAGTAATTTCTACCGTTGTGAGCCTTTCTGTGTATTTTATCAGTTTGGTTGGTGTTAAGCAGTCATTTTTAAGTTGGTTGTAGGAGATGTTTGTGTTTTATGGACAGAGTTATGTGTCCTCACTGCTGGGCAGAAAGGGGATCAGCCAAAATAACAATTGGGCAGGGGTGAGAAATAAAACAAAACAAAACATGAAGTTTAAGCTGTACAAGCACTAATGCTGCAGTATTTTCCTGTCATGTGTTGCTGTTGTTTTCTATAGAAATATGAAGGTCAGTAATGAAAGTCTTATAATGTGCAATTCAATAATTATTTTTGTACGTTTTCATAAATAAACTTTTTCTAAATATGACTAATTTGCTGTTGTGTGGTCTGTGTAAATGAAAGTGTATTACAAGACCTAGAGAGAACACACCGGCATTGTCAGCACCATCACCTCAAGCCGACCTCTTTGTGTAATGCGTTGTTATATGCTACAAGATTACCTGGGGTAAAAGAGGTGCCCTCAGCTTAAGTTAGGTTAGTACATTTAATGAAAGGGGATTCCAAAAATACATCCCTATATCCTGGTATGGTATCCTGGCATGAATTTAAAATGGAAATACAATAGCACCAATGAACATAACTGTAGTGTTGTATTTTTACTGAAGAAGACAGAGAGTTGTTTCAAATAAAGAGAAGACAATGCAAATCTAGTGTAACGTTACACATTTTTTTTTTTAAAGAAGTAGCTCACCTGTAGTGCAGTCTATTCAGTCTGCTGCAGTCTGCTCTGTTGTACAGCGTGTGTATATTTGTTTATTATAATAATTATTGTTATAATAATTTATAATAATAACATAATACTGAATAATGGAACATTAAACACATATTATAGTTGTAAAAGCTCTTTCACTTCCGTGTCTTTTCCCGGAAATGATTGGTTGGCATTGGCAACGTTTTAGCCAGGTCTAACGGCGGATAGTCTCTGAATAAAGAAATCGAAAGAAAGGGCCATAAAAAGGTTTGTTGAATATTTTAACAGTGTGTCTTTTACTGGACATCTTTGAAAGGATTTCGCTACGCTACGTGTCTTTCTAATAAATATGTGGGACCACTAACGCCATCAGAAGCTGATGCTAACGTTACGACAATACAATGTAAATCACCAGCTAGCTAGCCGAAATTATTGTGTCAGCACATCTTTAGTTAGCTGTCTCTTGGGGTATAGCTATAGGGGGACACGAAACCGACAAAGCCGAAATTATTTTGGAGACAATACACAAGTTGTTCGTGTTCGTGAGAATTTAACCAGTAGTTAAAGTACCGGGTTGGGCTCTGTGGGTTAGCCTGGTGCTAACACCACTGAAGCAAAAAACGTAAACAAAAGCCCCTTGGCTAAAGTGGTTAACGTCAACATTTGTTCATTTCCTCCAGACTTACAGCGTACCTTAGCTATATAGACATGAGTTAACGCAACCAACTTCGAGTTAACACTGTTAATTGAATTATCAGAACTATTCAGTTGATTTAGTTTTTGTAAGTGACTAGAAAGTAGCTAGCAGATTTAACTATGTGGGCTAACCAGCGGTGTCACTAGTTTACTGTTCCTGAAAGTTAACGTTAGCTTTGTCTTAAATGTAGGTCCGTGTTATGTAATTTAGAAACTCACACATCAAGTGGGGATGCTATGGTTGTCACTGTTTTTTTATTTTTAGAATTCAGCAGAGGACTTCTGTACCTTGTATTCTTCAAATCCACTCACCATAGAGGAGCGAGGAGCGAGTACAGACTGCAAACAGAATGACCAGGTCTGTAGCAAGTTGCTAAAGGACCAATGTTAATGATTCATTTCATCAAATGTACATTTTTTGCGTAACGTTACTGCTTTGGGCTTGAGAGACCGAAGAATTGTATGTGAAGCTTAGTTTACAGTAAACAACGATTAGAAGACTGATGAAATGAATGTTTTGCTGCTAACTTTGCTGTTTGCTGTTCATGTTTGTGAAGCTCATCTGCTCCCAGGATGGTGAATAGTTACAAGCGGACTTCAAGCCCCCGATCCCCTACTAACACTGGGGAGCTTTTCACCCCAGCACATGAGGAAAATGTGCGCTTTATACATGATAGTAAGTACGCCATCTAACACTGACGTGTTGACTTTTCTTTCAGAATAATCTAAGCATTTTATCTCCATTTACTAATGATCATAATAAGAATTATTCAGAGCTAAAATTAAATGTTGTTGCCCAGAGGCCTGTACCACGAAGCAAGTTCAACATACCCAGGATATCTTTTTGTTATCTGGCTTCACTGACCCTAACATTTACGATCGGGACATGCGGTACCACGAAGCTGCTTATCAACTCGGTAAGTTAACCCAGGGTTTCCCCATCCAGCCGTGAGTGCGTTCACATAAAAAAAGGCGGTGTTGGCAGCAGATGACCAATCGCAGACATGAACAAGTCCACCGGCATCACAGCGTAATATTTTACAAACGAAGAGGAATCTGTAACACTAGCCTGCAGAAATACGACATGGTCTAAGTAGCACGGCTGCAGCTGACACATGCAGGGAGACAGAAAATCGCAGACAGTTTGGCTAAATGAACATGCGTGGTCTAGTCTATAATAGGGTAATGCATGGATTTGATGCGTTCTTATGAGCTGTATGTAAAATATCAGCCTTATTCTTTCAGCTCGGCTGTGTGTCTGCGTTTTCACGTTAAAAGACTCTGATTGGCACTGATTAAGTGGTCTTCCACCCCCCTTTATAAGAACTTCATCACTTCAAAATTTGGATTAGTTTATTTAACACACTCAAAATTCTTTCAGACATTGTTCTAAATTAACTTCATAAAGCAATGTAATGAAAATTCCATGCATGTTATAAAATGTGCTCAAATAGTGGTTGAAAGACTGAATCTCAACATTTAGGCTGCTGAAAACTCACCTCATTACCTGCGTCCACATAACAAAAGGTGGAGCGGAACATGACCAGTTTCTGTGATAGCCTATAAGATAGCTACTAACCTAAAATACGTTCATATTAAAATTTATTTCAGTATCCCCACCAAACTGCTGATAATATTCAGCCTCACATAAAATGAAACCCATTTATTTTAACAGCTGTGACAGACTATGTGGAATGGACTGGGAGCAAATAAAAAAATATGAAGTGAAATATGTAGGCTTACTGTAAAAACCTGTACAATACATTGTTACCAAAGTTTCGCCATATCACCGCAGCAAACATAAAAGCATCCTATAAAAGAGTCTGTGGGATTTCCTACAGATGGTGTCATGTAATTTTTCAAGAGAGCTGATTGGTCAGTAGGCAGTGTTTCTATAGAGCTGATCTCTTATCTGGAAGATAACCTGCTCCGGAACAGGTTAGCTGTTCAGCAGAAGTTACCATGGCGATCTACTATGGTAAGAAGTGAACCACCTTCGTAGTACTGAAAACCCAGGGTTAACCACAAAGTTACCTCCATAAACTCAAATCATGCTTCATGGTACAGGCCCCAGGAACAGCTTTGGTCCAAGTTTATTTCCTGTGGACTATTTGCATTAGGGAAAACTGCAACAAGAAAAAAAATGTTGACCTGTTTAATCACTTAATGCGCTGCATATAAACACAATCCTAACCTTTTGGTTTATCTTGCATCTTGACACACACACATGGGAATTGCCAGTTAAATTGGCATGTGTAAACAGCAGCTCATACATACCACTTGAATCTGCAGGTACAGACTATTTTTTTAAAACCCATATCATGTATTTTAGTTTTATGGTTAATGCCATGGACTGAACAGACTCTTTATCATCAATGTGTTGCAGTAGCCTCCCATGAAATTACATTAATGACTTAATAAGTCATATAGCAGGTTATTTTAAACATAACATTGTAACTTAACAGACTTGCAGCTTTAATAGTTTAAACAGTTTACAGATAAAGAAAACAGCTTATGTGCCCACTTGAATGTGAGGACATGATTTGTAATGACAGAAGCATTACAGCATTTGGCCTGTCAGTCCCTCTCCACAATGCAAGCATCCACACTTAACAGTCTCTCGTTCTTCTAATCGGTGATAAATCAGTTTTCATTGTTTGCATACCCTGAGGGAGCCGCACCTTGTTTAGTGTGGGGATTTCAAGTGGGGGAAAAACATACATATTCAGTGTTTCTCAACTCATTGTGTGTATCCATGAGGTCTAACAAACATGCCAGTAGCATTTCTTTCCTCTCAAAACATTCCCTAACTTGGCGTGTTAACACCACCTGTAGATCAGTGGAAAAACCTGAAACCATTAGCAGGACTATGTGTCATGCTTGTGCTTGCACTTGTGCTGTCATGAGAAATACACTCTCTAAAACTCCACAGGGAACCTTTTTAAGTCCTGACAGTCATAGTGTCAATGAGGTAGGTCCAAGTGCTGGGACAGTGAGTGACAGTGTGGTACTAATGACCACAGTACACGCTTCTGATAGCTTTTCACTTTTGACTTCAGCCATCATCATTAAAAGTAGAAATGGTGCTACAGTATCTGAATTGGACAACTCAATTTGCCCGCTATGAGAACAAGTTCTGGCATTAAAGCACGTGCTAAACGTTGCAAGTCAACAAATGTCAGCATGCTGTCTTGGATTCAGTGAGACGTCTCACCTTCATTAAAATGAACTTCTTATTAACGTTCAAACTGCACTTCTGTCTGTCATGCATGGTAGGATAAGATTTCCTAAATTTAACAAAAGCATTTGTTGTCTTTACTTGTTCACAGCCTGGCAGTGTGTGCTTAGAGACATCAGATCAACACAAAATAGTGAACGTAATGACCGTGGACCACAGGAGTATGTGGAGAAGAACCCAAATCCTAACCTACATTGTAAGTTAAAATGTAACTTGGTCATGGAGTGGATTTTATTTTTATGTCACACTAAAGGATTAAATTAATCAAGCAACTTGTTTCTGTCTGGCTCTTTGCAGCTTTCACACCAGTGGACCTGAGTGACCTCAAGAAACGCAACACACAGGACTCCAAGAAGTCCTAGTGTTTCTCATGATGGTCCAGTCGCTTTTTTTTCTACCCATTTTCCTCAAGAACTTTTCCTCCATCAGCCAGAAAGTCAGCCCTATTGCCCAGTCTAGCACAGAATGCCAATCTCCCTCTTTTTTTCCTTTTATTTTTTTAAACTCTGGACCATAGAAACCTCCGTCTCTTTCTTTACCCTCTACAAAAGACTAAGAAGAAAAGAAGTGGGATTCCAGGGAGCACAAATTCTCCCGTCTCTTGGTTCATGTTTTTTAAGTGAAAAAATCTTCATGTGTACATTCTTTATGTGGATGGGACTGATGCAAACTTTCATCCAAATTTGCTGACATCTGATGCTGAGGTACAAACTGTTGACACTCTCCACAGGACTCAAAAGACTGCAGTCTTAAATACAAACCCTGTTTTCTTTAGTACTGCTACTTATATGACTTTGGAGGAAAATGCAAAAGGGCTGACTGCATTTTATTTTATTTTTATTTTTTTGGTTTTGGAAGATAGTTTGATACGTAAATTGTAGACGTAATGGAATGGTCACATTGGATACACACTTTATGGGCAAGTTTGGGAAGCCAAATCTAATGTAGAAGGCCAACATTTTTATTCTAAATTTTCTTTCCCTCAAATGGACTTTACTAAGTAGAGACCTCCCCAAGTATGCTGCCCTTGGTTAACCCCCCTCCCCTAAGCCTTGAAACAAAATGTTGAATAAAAGACTTTTACAGTACTGTGCTTGTATTGATCCCAAATAAATATCAACCATGGGACATGGAGAAAGGAAACTGTGTGAAACCTCCCCTAAAGGGGTCCCATGGAATTTCATAAAGCCAGGTAATTGTGAAAAACGATTATAATATATACTGGTTATTGATTCTAGAGCTTTAGCCAAGGGTTATTACCAATCATTTTCAAAATGTCAAATGATTAATCATTTGGTTTATAATTTATACTATATATACTTCTAAGACAACTGTAAACAATTTCTTAGAGCCAAAGTTGACAAATTCAAATTGCTTGTCTTGTCTGATCATAGACATTTAGTTTAATGTCTTAGAAGGCTAAAGAAACCAACAAATATTCCCATTTAAGTGGCTATAACCAGTGAAAGGTTGACATTTATGCTTAAAAATGACTTGAAATGGTTGTTGATTATCACAATCCTTGCAGATTTAATCTTCTGTCAATTGACTGACTGCTAACTGATTAGAATCTGTGAAGCAAAACTTTCCACTATAAATATGAGTCATCGGGGAACACGATCCATTCACGCATGACTATACATTTTCTTACACTGGTCACGCATTCAATTCAATTCAGCTTTATTGGCATGAATGTAAAACAACAATATTGCCAAACGTATCATGCTTATTACGTGATGACGTCATGATTACGTGCAGTACGTAGTGAGCCAGTTTGTCTATATCCTGCTGCGGACGTTGGCTCATTGTGTTTTGTCGTCGGCGCAGAGGGTTGTGAAAGGGCAAAGAGAGGGACCAATCCAGGCTAGGGTGTATTGTTTTTTTTAATACTTTGTTGACAGTTTAGCACTATTGGGGCAGCATAATGGCGGATAAAATGGATATGTCTCTAGACGACATTATCAAGCAGAACAGGCAGCAGAGAGGTGGAGGCCGGGGTGGAAGAGGTCGAGGCCGTGGAGGCTCAGGCGGCGGCGGCCGGGGAGGAGGAGGCGCCGGGCGTGTTGGAGTCGGCAGCGGAGGATTTGGAGGCCGAGGTGGCGGATCCGGCCCCATGAGGAGCCGACAGAACCTGAACCGCGGTAGAGGCAGACCAACGCCTTACAGCAGGGTATGAGAAAGTTAGAGGAATGGGCAGAAAAAGGAAAAACCTTCGGCAAACCTGAAAATGCCTGGTTAACATCCTTCTATTCTCCAATAGGCTTGCTAGCTAACCCTCTAGCCAGCTTGCTGGTCAAGCGAATAAAATTATTGCTGTAACCGCCGAGTTTCCCTCGGAGGAGAGCTCTATAGTTTGCGGTTGAGCATTAATGGCATTTGTATGCATAGTGTGTCCCTTCACCCACAACCTATATGTGTTGCATCAATTTCAAGAAGAGGCCGTGTGTTAGCCGTATTGGTTAACTAGCTAAAGTTGGATCGTGAAGGCCTCGGCGGCGCCATTTTGAATCCAGCACCTTAAATTAGAGCTAGTCGTCCACGGTCAGTAAGAGCGCTTTCCACCCGAAGTTTCGAAATGACGATGAGAGGAAACGACTTCATCGAGAAAATTCACCCGCAGTGGGGTTTTTCCATCTCTTTGGGAGCATAGTTTTTGTCCATGTCCCGGTGCAGCAAGAAGGCGGCCTTTTGTTCGGGAGTGGCTGGCGGGTTCACAACAAGGCCCGTTTGGTGGCAACCATTGTGGCTGTTACTTGTGGATGGATCAGTGGACTTCAACTCCCCATCTGATAGTGTCCATATAAATCGTCACTTTTTTTTACGTGTGAATGAGTGTTTAGAAAAGACCAACAAAGCCCCAATCAAAATGGCGTGGTCTCAAAATGGACGCTCACATAATCCACGCTCGCATAGAGGAGGTAGCCGGCCCATTTCTAGTTGTTCATCCACCACTTCAAGTTATGGACACTTCCCCCTGCATTAAAGCCCGTTTCGTGGCTTGGTAAAGAACTTTTGGGCGAGCCGGGAAATGTGGTGCAACGCTGGAGGCAACGCTGCTTCAGATGGCGACCCCCCCCCCCCCTCCGTGTACCCGAGGATCATATCTGGAGCAGATGGCAAGAGAACAATGGGCTATATTGGTAGCTAGCCGGGGTGGGCAAGTTCTTAGTATACAGATTGTGGGTGGGTTTGGGATAACAAACTTTGCTCAGTTTTGACTTAATAGTCATTGAGTAAATGTATACGGTCTCAGTAGATGCCGCTAGACCTCACAATGTTGGAAGCTATATACATTATGTGTGTGTATGGAGGTGATATACAATGAATCCCCTTGCTGTTATAGTTGTTTGTCTTGTCTGTCCTCTGTCTGAACTGATTCACTTGCTTGTAGTGATGGGGTGGGCAGGGAACATTGGGGACCCTCTTGGGGGAACTGAGCACCCTGGCCCTGTTGGAAGTGGAGCCCCTGCTTGCCCCAACACCCAGCCGTGTGGACTCTGTGATTGACAGAGGCAAGGGGATCCTGAAGTCAGCAGGTGCGTTCTCTTTCATCTGTTGCAGCCTAAACAGCTTCCAGATAAGTGGCAGCACGACATGTTTGACAATGGCTTCAGTGGCTTCAATGGCGCTGCTGGAGGCGGTGGTGGAGCTGGTGTGGAAACCGGAGGGAAGCTCCTTGTCTCCAACCTTGACTTTGGGGTCTCAGACGCAGACATTCAGGTATTTCACCATACCCATTTATTTTTGTTGTCAGTGCATTTCGTTGGTGTGCTAAACCGGGTGGATTAAAGGGATGGTTACTAAGGACTTTCTTTTTTTTTACCCCACTAGGAACTTTTTGCTGAATTTGGGACTCTGAAAAAGGCGGCAGTCCATTACGACCGATCAGGAAGAAGCCTGGGAACCGCAGATGTCCACTTTGAAAGGAGGGCAGATGCACTAAAGGCCATGAAGCAGTACAATGGCATCCCACTTGATGGTATGCCTCAAATGCTAAGCAACACATCCACTGCACAAATATGTTCATTTTTGTTCAACTTTGTTTATAATTTTATTAATCGAAGAAAACTACTTTTCTAATTTCCTGACCATTTCTAGCACTGCTGTTTCTCAAAATTGTGAGATTCCCTATGCCTTTGTCTCTCTAGGGCGGCCTATGAACATACAGCTCGTCACGTCACAGATTGACACACAGAGGCGACCTATGCAAGGGTGAGTGTAGCCATATGATAAAGAAACTTTACTCCAAGATGTTGGACACCATTCGTGATGGGCACTCTTATTTCTAGTCTCAACAGAGGAGGTGGAGGCATGAACAGAAATCGCGGGGGCGGCTTTGGGGGGCATGCAGAGAGGCCGCGGAGGACGTGGTGCAGGAGGTGGTGCCAGAGGAAGGGGGCGAGGTGGGCGAGGCGGTAGTAATAAGCAGCAGCTGTCAGCAGAAGAACTCGACGCCCAGTTAGACGCCTACAATGCCAGGGTATGTTCAGCAGTGAATACCTTGCCTGTTATCGATGAACAAATAGTGTGTTAGCAGCTGTCTAATTTCATTCTTTTGTTTTCTCAGATGGACACTAGCTAAGAAATGATGCTCCTTCTGGTTGTCGTCCCTTCGTCTCTGCACAGAAGGGTGGTTGTTACAAATGTGCAGAATATTTTACACTTGGTTGTCTTCAGATGTGATTGAAATTATTGTTCAAACCTCTTCTTTTAAATGCCCCAAAGTGTTTTTTACCAGTATTTTTTTTTTTTTTCTTCCCTTTTTCTGATGAAAATGGTTTTGGCTGTAGGTCAATGTGAATTGGGTTTTCCCCAATTCTTTCCTCTACCCTGTAGTTAATGGAACTTGTAATAAAACCTGCAGTGCATATTAACCAAATTCTGTCTCTCTCAATTTGTGTCCACACATCTGCTTGTCTGTCCAGTTTTAAAATTCATTTTAAAAATCATTAAAATTTAACAAAGAAGGTGCTTGTGGTTATTTTGGGCTGAGATTTAATGAAGGGATTAATTGCATTCTGTGTCCCTTGTCTTTTTGAAGTTTAGTTTACAATATAGTCTGCTGACCCACCTCCTCCAATGAATTAATATTGTGTGTTGGTGGGAACCAATTGATTGCCAGAGAGGAGCATGAAATTTAGCCTTAGAAAATAAATCACTGTCTTGATGTGAAAGCCCGATTAATCATTTCAAATGTGTGGTCCCTGTCGGTAGGTAACACTTCTACAGCAACTTTTAGTCTATGCAGCACATTAACTTATAAAGATGTAAACGTTTAACTGACTGTAGGTTTAGCTCTTCTTCAGACAACCATTGAAACAATTGATCTGATTGCAAAAGGAGAAAGTGGACACGTGTTAGTCTGGGTATGAATCTGAAAAGCAAATTGAACTGTCTAGTGAAGTTGCTAAATGAATGATGTTACCATCGACTGTATTTGGGGCCTGGAAAAGGACGTTTACCACAGCTGAGCAGTGTCATTGTTCTAATTGAACAAACATGGTGACAACCTACATTTCATGCTCGACTGCTTAGTGCAGTACCCCACCGCAGCCATTAGATGTCGTCCTGCTCTGCATCCACCATATCTGTCAGCAGGAATGTGAATTGGAGTTTATGAGCCTACAGTTTGTTGGAAAGTACTTGTCAGTACCTGCTTGCCACACGCATGATATGAAGTGAGTCGTGTACTACGTAATATGTCGGTGGATAAATGACGTCAGCTCTGGGAGGGAGCTAAAACTGAGGTGGAAGTTCAGTGAATAAGGTGTAAAATGTGTGGACCTCTCAGAGCAAGGTATGTGAGTGCAGCACAGACATGCAAACCCCCGCACGTCGCAAGCGTATTTTTTCCCGGAAGCGTGTCTAAAGCAGTCTAAAGACATTTACATTACAAACATTTGAATTGTTAACAAATACGGTTTCCGGTTTGGTTTTCATGGTTAAACAAATAGCTGTGTTTTTTTTGTTTTTTTTCTTAGAAAACATCAATCGTTTGTGGTGGAACAAGTTTTCAGATGTTTTACTTTGATAAAAGTAGTAATAACATAATGTAAAAAAAAAAGTTTTTCATTAAAGCTACAGGATTATTATCAAATTATAAGTATATTATATTATAAGTATATTATATTATAAGTATATTATATTATACTATAAGTATAAAAATCACTATCAAAGTGTTATTTTGCAAATGAGTGGATTATTTTTATTATGGACGCACTAACATGCAATAAGGGGAAGCATATTTTAACTATATAGCATACTTTTTAAATAATCTTTTACTTTATAGCAATGCCTATATTTTTATTTTATAAAATCTTAATATAATTGTAGTGGAGTAAAAAAATATTTCTTTTTGAATTGCGGTATAAGTATAAAGTAACTCAAATAAAGACTAACACAAGTGTAAAGTGACAATAACAATTATCACAAATATATTTCCTCAATAACAATATAACAAATGTTCAATAAATGTTTGATTTAATTCATTTGAATCACAAACAAAATAGTACTTAATTTTTCTATTCAAATTCATTTTGGTGAGGAAAAGAGACTGAAATTTCATTGCATCATAACTGTTTATATTATATTCTACCTCAGATATGTTAAGTGATCCACTGTTTGGCATCAAGTGTTTGTCATGTTCTGACCATAAAGAGTTTAAAACCACAATTAGTCATCTGGTTTCTTCAACTTTCACTCAGGTGCAAAAATCAGCCTTTAAACTTGAAAGAAAGAATGATTTGACATTTATGGTGATAATGATCGATATTGAATTATGTGATTTTCTTAATAGCGATAACATTTTTGCCCATATCGCCCAGCCCTAGTTTGAATAAATGTCTATAGTCTGAAAACGTTTCTCAAATGTTTTTTCGTGGTGACACAGTGCTTTAAACCATAACTTATCAAGAAAAAATATTTACTGGAACATCAAAACACACATTTCTTCTCCTGTATAAACCATCCACACTCAGCTGAAGCCCCACGTACAAACTAGACTGTATATAAAAAGGTACAAGCCTGCTTTTATTTTGAAGTCCTCACACCGGACGTCGTCGCCCCTGTCAGCCGCAGTTGGCTCAGATTGTCTCCGCCGCTTCACTTCACTCCCCGCCGTTCACAGGAGACTGTCCCAGCCTTCCAGCGGTATAACGGTAAGAGTTGATGAAACACTCGCTTACCTCTTATATTAACTCATTTTAGCCGGTAAAGCGTACATCTCGTAGTTAGCAAGTTTTTAAAAAAGTACTTAACAACTTAACCCCTGAACGTGAATTTATGAAAGGAGAAATTTGTGTACCAAAGAGCAACTTCCTGCAGGCAGGGCTGTGCCTTTTTAACATAACGTTAACCTAAGTTACATTTATCATGTTTATCGCAGAATTAGTTTCTTATACTCTTTATCCTTTATTATGACTAATTGCAATAAATAAAAGTTATTCGGCGGCAGAGAGGAGTTACAAAAGCAATCATTAGTTGCTCATTTCCGGGTGTTTCGCCTGATGTGAGCTGCCAGTGATGGCCGTTAGGTAACGATAATGTCATCCATTGCATTGAATTATTCACAATGAAATACACAGCGGGCGAATGCACTGAGGATTGAACCAAAAGTTTATTCAGATGAGTTACTTTAGTCAACTTTAAAATGTGTGTGTGGCCTGACAGTCATGCGGTGCATGAGGAACATTTTCTGCCACTTCCTGGAATTCTTCTCATTTGAATTGGCCTGGAGGGCTCACACCTTAAATCAGCCACCATCTTGGCCTTTTAATGCTTTTACAGTCAAGTGCACATATATCACAAGTGCTTAATCAAAAGTGCTTCAATTGACAGTCACTTTTATGTACTTTTGTGTGATAGTTATGCTGTGAGCTTAGCTGACTGGCTTATATAGGTGATTTCAGAGATCACCTAAACTGTGAACCCTCCCTTTCCTTCCTGTGTGTGTGTGTGAGCTCAATGGCCTGGAGGATTGTTTTTTTTTTCCTCCCTTCTAGGACTAGGAGAACTTTCAGATGGTACGTTTCTGTCACAGCCTTGTCATTTGCTTCATGTCAACCTGAAAATTTGCAGCCTTGCAGCCGGGGCCGGATGTCTCATTTAGCAGTTTCTGTTTCTCTGGTTGAAGCTGGTTAATCTTGAGCAGGAGGCAGAATTAGCCACTCAAGGTTTAGCATGTAGCTTTTTCATTGTAGCTTCCCTGCCATCAGCATTATAAGCTCCGAACATGTTCAAGCAGCTCTCAGTAAGGAATGCAAAGGTCAAAACCACAGGCCTGAATCGGGAAAATGCTGCACATACCAGCTTGTATTTAGATGTAAGTAAAGGTGTGACTATGGTGCTGAAACGACAAGTTGATAAAATACTCTATCTGCTAATACAACAACTTATTTGCTTTGACTGATACTGTTAAGTCTTTTTTTTCTTTTCTTTTTGAAGTATTTCTCTTTGAGAGTCAATCCTGTCTGTCTATACCTTGTACCATTTTAATGAGTTATCTAAGCCTGCCATGGCGCGTTATATCAGTGGCCTCTTCTGTTTTTGCTCAGCCTCACAGGGGAATAGGTGCACACACACAGACCAGTGTGAGCTAATAATGATTAGCCTTTCTTTCTCTCACACTGTGTGGTTCTTCTCAGACAGAACATGGCCTTCCTCAGACTCAACAGGGACACATCCTCTCAGAAACGATGAGCTTCAGCGCGGGGTGATGTTGGTAGTCTTTTTGTTAAATAAAGTGAATTCACCTCCGCCGTGCCTGTTGTCCAGGGAGGCAAACTGAATCTGGGCATGTTGGTTAAACTCCTGTAGAGCAGGGGAATAAGCCCCGACCTTTCAGCTGGCACCTTGGCGATCCCATTCACTGGCAGCTTCCTGCTGCTGCATGCAGGGATTTGTCACTGGCTATTTTTAAAGCTTCCTATTTGTTCTGGTTCTTCCTGGGCTCGAGTCATGTTTTGTTTCTTTTTCTCCCAGAGCCACCTCTTTCTCTCTGTTGCTCATTTTCTTTGCTGTCATATTAGTCTTCTCTACTGACGCTATCATTTCTGTGATAGCTGTCCTGCAAACGTTATCTTGGTTGTTAAAGGGCCGATATCTCCCCAGTTAATCAGTTAACACAAGCTCATAAGTTTTCTAGCCTGTCCCTTCTAATTTTCATCTCACTGCATTTCTGTTTTATTCTCACCCCCTTTTCTATTCCTGTTGTGTTCCTCTGTATTGCATCAGTTCTGTCAAGCACCCGTGGTGTAACACTTCCTCAAATCTTTGGTAAGTGTCGCGCTACAACCTCAGCTCAGTTGGACCCAGCATGATTGCATCCACTAAGATAACATCTAGCCACTATCCTTGTGCATTCATGTAATTACAGCATCTTAAAAACAAATTAAGGTTAGGTTAGTCTCAGGTAGGTACTTTAAGAAGATGCTTCAGCTTTGCAGTGTGTGGTTTAGCGCGCTAAAGGATATGAATCATCATGCTCTCGCAGGCAGGTTGAAAAAGGAAGTGTGCAGTAGCTTTTTTACAGACAAAAAAGGCCTGGTTGCAGCCTGACATGCTCCACTATATCATCAAGTATAAAGGCTTAGCAGTATCCAGATACACAATGTACGGGTGTGTTTTAAAGGCATATTTATAATTCTTGCTATCGCAGCTCCACTATTTCCAGCTGATGTGCTATTTGCACTGTTATCCACTCACGAGGTAACGGTTACTTTGAAGCTAAATCAACACTAAGGTGGAGGCGGGAACATTTAAGAAAAATGGCTACCGGAGCTGCTCTGCACATAAGAGTCAGATGATATGCAGATAGTTAGAAATAGATATGGTTAGTTAGAAATGCTTTGGATAGGTGTGCAGCATTTCATATGAGCTGGT